TGATTAATCTAAATACGAGTAATGATAATAAAAAAAGTAATAGATAAATGGATTTTTCGATACCTGTAGAATTTGGTTAGTCATGAAGTTAAATCATATATACACTTCATTTATTTTAGGAAGACCTTCCTGCTCTTTTAACGGTTGAAGAAATGAAATATTTAACGGAAAACTTGGATAAATATAGCATAAAGAAAGGTGAGTGACTCATTCTTTTTATTATTAACACTTTCATTGATACAGTGTTATAGCGTTGTTGCCTAGCTGTCCTGGCATGTATTGGTAAAATTCGAAATTGCCATTTAAAAGATTATAAAAACAATGACAGAGAATTCTCATGGGTGCCGCCATTTTGCTTTCGATTTAATACTCTGCTGTACAGACTAAAGTACACGCCAAACACACAATATGATATAAATACTTCACAAAACATGTATTGTACGATACTAAATGTCTACGCTTGTTTGAAAATAGCACTAAAGGACCGATATTTCACGCTATCTTGGAAAAAATATATATATATATTAGACATTCTTTATGTTTATGCATTCTTTTTATAGATACAAATATTTAAGTAAATACTCTGTTTATAATAAACAACATTTACCGGCCTGAATGCCTGAGAAATTGTCATAGAAAATATGCGTCCTCCGACAGTAATCGAACCTGTATCCTATACGGAAACGTCATATAGCCTGACGTGCCTTAACCGATTGGGCCACAGAGGAGCGTTCGGTTAGCAAGGTCGATTTTACTGTTTTTAAACAATATTCTCCATGATTTTCTCTCATTTATTCATATCTGCTCAATGCGTATCCAAATGTAAACAAATGACGTCATACATAAAAAAATGTCTTAAATAATTGTCGGGCTTTTTCCATTTCATAATGTATGACGTCATTTGTTTACATTTGGATACGTGTGCAAAGTTTATTTTAGTATATACTGAGGTCTTTGCAGATCAGCTTCTCTTATAAAAAAATATTCCTTAGCGACATTTGATTTGATTCAGACTGTCTGGTATTTACTGGCATGAACAACGTGCTACAGTTGGATCATCTTACATGGTTGATTGATTTGTTTTTACGGTTTATCAACCTTTTGCGGATTATTTAAAGCCAGAAAATATTTTAGATTGTAAGAATTTCTTTTGAAGATGCTAATTATTTAGTGATACAAGTCTTCCTAATTAACCCATATTTAGGGGTAGAAGAGGTGGATTCATTCTTTCATTCTGAGTCATTATCCATTACACCACCTGCATACCAAAGCTTACAGCACCTGTTATTCCTATGCGGTCACCCATCTAGGTACTGACCAAGCTCGACTTTACTTAACTCCGGTGATCTTATGAGAACCGATGCTTCAACTTGATGTGGCCTTAAACCTTACATGATTGAGACGAGTTTTTTTTTAAAGTAGAGGAAAGTTGTGACTTTTGAACAAATATTGATTATAAAAAAGTAATCACTGGTATGTTTTATATCTATGGAAATGGTTTTGAATTTATATGATTATTTGTAGATGAGCCTCTTAATAATTTCACGCTCTCTCTGTATGTTTGTGTGATCACGTGAATAATACTTTTTGTATCAATATTTCATCAATTAGAATTCTAAATCTTTAGCCCTTACCAACCAAAGGTATTTACATTGTTATTGCACAGAAGTGGTGTTCAGAGTTTCGAAGTCCAGATCTGTTCTTCATGCCCCTAAAATAAGCTTTTCTTTTTATGTGCCGTGTCCTTTCAGGACGTAGGCGATCATGGCTCTCCACATCCTCCTATCCCTTGCAGCTCTCAACAAGTTCCGTCCCTCTGCCTCCTCCTCCAGACCACGTTCTGTCATCCACTTACTTAAGCCCGCTAGGTATGTCATGCGTTGTTTTCCCTTGCCTCCCTTTCCCTTTATTCGACCTGCGAATATCAGATTCTCCAGGCCTCCCTTCCTCATTACATATCCCAGAAGCTTTAGCTGTCTCTTCTTGGTGTTAAGTATAAGCCTCCTCCTTGTTTGCATCCTCTCTAAGACCTCATAGTTTCTCACACACTCTGTCCATGATATCAGAATCCATCTGTAGAACCACATCGCCTCGAGTCTCTTCTTCATCTTTGAGACCGTCCAACATTCGCTGCCATAGAATCTAAAAATGCTGGTGGAAGAATAGTCAAGTAAAATATCTACTTAGTTTTTTTTTTCCAATTCTCTTCAGTTTTCCATTCATGCTTTTTGTAAGTGCCAAAGACATATTATTTATATGATCTATTGTTTATAAGCTGATATATATTGATGATGTTAGAAAGTACTCGGAACATTACACACAATTTCGTCAAGACAAGGATAAACTCACCAAAAGGCTTGGTAGGCATTCCCTGTATGTCCTGTTCAATAAAATATGTTTAAACTGAGGACTGTTTATATATTTACTTCAAGAAGAATGCGTTCTCCGGAAGACTTAGGTTACATCGTCTTTCACTCCAACATACACCAAACATACCCCAATCAACACACGTACCGACACAACCAACTCCCACAAGACCAACTAGAAATATGTTCCACACATATACGGGCATGTCATTCTCTCACTAACAACTTCAGGAATTAAACACACGGACACCCAATAAAATCCAGATACGCGCATAATGCCGTGGCAAAAAAAGGTGAGATTTATCTGACCAATGAAAAACACAGGACTCAAGGTAAAGGAACTTTCTCTTCAATAACCCATTTCCAAAAGCGAAATATGTTAAATTTATAAATTTTTCGTATTTCTTCCTTATTCTATCATTATTTCGGATTTTAATCCGTATTTGATTTAAATATATATATATATATATATATATATATATATATATATATATATAGTAATGATGGTAATCCTTATGGAATTTCCGGGAGGATATAGATCCATGGAGATCTCTATGAATCAAGAGATATTGCTATTTCAATTAGAGAGTGGGAAAAGGCAGAGAGTGTTGACCTCTTTTGATATACTGACCTCAGTATGTCGTTTGAAAATGGTGGAAGGGATTGAGGGTGGCTTAAAATGAACTAACTACACATTAAACCCTTGTTCAACACTCTCTGCCTTTTCCCCTCTCTAAATAAAATAGCAATATCTCTTGATTTTAACCTGGAATATTTTTTGTAGGTTTTGAAGATTGAGAACTGATTTTTAGAGCTCTAATTAAAATAAAAAATATTACCTATGGATTTTAAGTTTTTTGATATTCTTTAATTAATAATAATAATAATAATAATAATATATATATATATATATATATATATATATATATATATATATATATATATAGTAATTTTGGGGATTTGAATAATTTTTCATAATAATTCATTATGTCTAGACCTAGAAACCTCAATAGAATGCAGAAAAGCACTGGACGCTTTTGAAAAACTTTTGAAAAATTATTCAAATCCCCCAAATTACTCTTCAGTTATATAATCCTATTCTAGATCCAGCTTCTAATGCTCTGGATGGTGGGGTTTGGTGAAGGAAGTCGTTGTTCTTGGGGTCTGTCTGTTGGTTATGTATAGTTGGATAAGTATCACAATATCAGTGGATGCGTACTGCTGATGAGTCCTACAAATAGGGCGAAACGGTCAACCAATGTTTTTCTGCATTCTGTTGAGGTTTCTAGGTTTAGGCAAGATTAATTATTATGAAAAAAAAAAAGAAATTAATCGTTATCACTCCATACAAGACAGTAAAACCACTAAGACGCAAGAGATTACAGGATGTGGAAGAATTAAGAACAGAAACATTAATAATGACGAGGAAATAGTAATCAGGATGACAGTAGATAGCGATTGACTTTGCTTTTAAATTTTTGCAGATTAAAGCTGGCTGGAAAGCATGAAGCTGGACGGGTGTCCCACAAGCGGGAATTATGAGAAAAAAAATTGTTAGTATAGAATTTATGGTTACATCTACTTAGCTAAACTGTCAATTGATGAAATCTCGACGCCAGTATAGTACTGTGCTTAAATTAAAAAATCTAAGTACCACAGCGAAGAGTTCATCCAAACAATTACCATGAAAGTAATTATAGAAGAGGCACAGAGAGGTAACCTTACGAACAGTGGGAAAGTAACTGAAGCCAAGCCGCCAGATCAGGACAAGAAATATTGCTGATTCTTCTTTGGATATTATCAAGGAGCTCAAGGTAAATAGTAGGGGTACTGGACCATATATGACAGCAATATTCTAAGCATGGACGACAGTCTGCTTCATGCTTAAACGCAATCATCAGGCCATTTGTGTTGTGTTTTGGCTCAACTATTTATGTATGCTCGTCAATGGTGTCAATGAAACAGACTGTTGCTGCTGGGTGTTGAATTCAATGTCTACTTTTATATTTACATACGCGCTATCCCTGATACCGAGGCATAGATAACCCATAAATATTAGCATAGCATAAAACCGTAGTTTTATCACACGCAAACATACGTGTGTGTGTGTGTGTGTGTGTGTGTGTGTATGTGTGAGTGTGTATGTGTGAGTGTGCGCGTGCGTGCGCGCGTGCGTGCGCGTGTGTGTGTGTGCGCGCGTGCGTGCGTTTCGTGAAAAATGAGCTTACCCAGGCACGGATTAAAGTTGGAAAAGAGGGATATGAAGATTGTGTGACACCGGTTTTAAAGCATAAAGACTTTCTGCCTTGGAAATAGTGGAATATTCAAAATACGCGACAATTCATCCACCAAGTAAGAAGATAAAAGTGTATTTTTAAAAAGAATACAGCTGATTATAACTTAGATACAATCTTTTGAAAATATTATCACAGACTCCTAATGTGTAGACACTCGGAGCTACGAGACAGTCGCATCCTTAATTAGTCTGGCACAGCCTCGAAATAGCAGGTCATCTATGGCGGGGTCTTTACAAGTCCGTGAGGAAACGACATGCTTTGGCGTTATGATGATATGGATCGTTTGCACTTTTCTCCACTTCCTGCTATGTGCCTCACTCCCCAATAGCTTTTTTTTCCTTATGAGCAAAACAATCTTAAAAATAGTCAATGAACGAAACTTATTTTAATTAAGACATTAAATCCTGTTTCTCTTTTACAGTTATGCTATGTTACCATTTTCGTCGAGGTATTTACTTCCATCAGCGAAATATAAAAAAGTATAAGCCATTGTTAGGAAAAAAGATCTTTTTATGTAGCACTTATGACCCAGGAAATTTATCTACGAAAATCTTTCTTTTGAATTTTTTGACTCATGAGTTCAGATAGTGTATCTGAATACGCATGCGCTAAGTCTTCTGCAACTACTCGAGGTGTGTGTATGTGTTTAACTCGCTGGTTTGAGTTTAAGAAAATAAAAGTTTCTGTTTTTAATATTGTTCACCCAATACAAGGAGCAAGAGCCACTCAAGGTTACTGAATGAGTTGTGGGTGCGCAAGCAGGGAGCAAAACGTGCATATTATGAGGATAGGTAGGATAGATAACGGTTAACTCTAGCCATGAAGATGTTAAGTTTGTAGTGATTGGGGAAGTATCCGCTTGAGAGTTTGTTAAACAATGCACCAATTTTGGGAAAGATGGTGTCTAACTGAAACTTCCTCATTACCAATGGAATATGAAGAGAATGAGAATGATTCGACTCAGTGTACGTGTTCCGGCGAGTCCTAGCTGTGAAGGTGTGAACTGGTAGCATTAAGGAGTGTAGTTCACCCAAACATCGGCCATGAAAATAGCATTAGATTTCCGAGATTTTAGCAACTTTTCGTCTGTGAGAAAGGGGTTGCAGGGCTGAAAAAATATTCATCACCCACACGGAGGAGATGTTAAGAATATAAAGAGTCAAACGACTGTAATAACGCAAAATCCGTTAAGGCTGTTTCAAGTAAGATAAAAAAAGAGCTTCGTTCGACAGAAATATGACAAGTAGTATTTAAAATATGGTTTTATTGCTAACAAATACTCTCCCGCCTGAAGGTCCCTGTATCTGACATGCGGAGAGACACTGTGTGTTGAAACCTGCAAACTTGAATCGAAGCACCTTATTCTAAAGCGAACAAATGAAACAGAAGCTAGTTCTATGATATATCATGTCCATAACTGCTATTACACTGAGAGAGTCATATCTAGTAGCTTGCCGTATCTAAAGCCAGATTTTTTAGAGATAATAATGATTTAGAGATACAAATCTTAATAATTAACACATACTGTTGAAGGGGGGGGGAGAAAAAGTGTATTCATACCTTTCCTAAGGGTATTTGTGCGTAAGTGAATATAATGATTACAACTGAAATTGGAACTCTGTTCTCCGATTAACAATTCCGAGCCATTATCCATTACACCACCCGCACATCTAAGCATCTGGAATTTCCAAGCGAGTACCCATCTAGCTACTGATCAA